GTTTTATAAGCTTTAAAGGTGAGCAAGAAAGGTCCCCAGTTTCATTTTAATCCGATTTCATTATGATCTGCGACATTGATTAAACCTTATTTTTGCATTACATGAATTGATCGCTGATCGCACATAAAAAAAGTACCAAACTTCGGGATCGTGTCATTGATGTCACGGTTGGATAATTACATAGTAAAAACCATTCCTAAGTTTTTATATTTTTTCTAATCTGAGATAATGCTATCGCATCTATAGAACCTGGCGTTAATTTGGTTGTTTAACTTTATGATTCGTATAACAGCTAATTAATTAATTGGCTAAAAAAATTTATGGATTTTAGATTAAATACTGAATAAGCGCGAAATAACGCTTGGGGTGTAATGTCGAATTTTGACCTAAATCAAACTAAATTCGGGTCATTATTCAAAATAACACCCCTGGGCGTTATCTCACACTTATACGGGTAGAACGATTAAAGTTTTAAATCTAACAATTGTTAAATTAAGTAACTTTTCGATTAATAGATTTTCTATTTGTATCACTAGTACAGAATTTATTAAAGATATAAATTTGATGATTAATTCGGGAGACAAGACGTGTGAAATATGTAGTCAAGTAATCAATTTAGGAGTCAATTTATGGATTATAAATGATAGTTAGAAATAGTCAAATGTATATAATTAAGGGGAAAAAGTAGAAATGCGCCAAGAATCGGATTGTCAAGTATACAATATAGAGTGTAGTATTCACACCAGGGCTAGGTTTCTAGTACTGAATTTATTATGACGATTGTTAAATTATTTGATTGTTTCGTCTTCGTTTTGCATGGACAGAATTATAATCTCGGCGAAGGAAGTCTTATCACGTGACGCGATTCAAATGTTTTGACGACCGAATATTTATTTATTTTCTACTCGACTTATCTTTTCGGTAAGTTGCCTTGGTTAGATAGTACTTTATCAGATTTGGTGATAAACGACAATAGGCTACGACATATTACTTTGTGCTATACGCTATGAACTTCTATTATTATCTGTTAAGAACTGCTCTAGTCAATCAATCAGTCAATCAAAAAAGAAGGAATATGCTTTAAAAAATTGGGTTGAGGTAGGATTGAAGTGGAAATCCCAGGGGCAATTATCGGTTAGAATAATAATTTGGTAGCATTGATAAATGTTATCTTTTTAATCTTTCTAGGATCGCTTTTCAACAATCAATGAAAGCGTCTTGAAATGGAAATCTGAATACAATGATCAGTTGAGTATCTTTCGATTAGGGAAAGACCCTGACGCGTATCTTGACTTATGTTGCATATAATTCTTGTGTTTCATGTGGACAATATTCTTTAATACGCCAAATACAAGTTTAATTATTCAATTTTAAGTATCGAGTTGGACTGAGTTCGGACTTTAAATCCCTATCAATCAATTTAACCTTATTAATGAGAAATTTTAACAGTTAATTTGGATTGATTTAACGTTTTTAACGCCATATGGTAGTACGTACATACGCATCTTGTTTTAAGTTTCCGCATCTAGAATGATACATAGAAACACATTGTTTGAATAATCTCCATTTTGCCCCAAAATGGTATCAATCAGGATCGCCCATCGAATAAACTTTTGTTATTTCCAGAAGGGAAATTGAAGCCGCAAATTTATAAATACTCCAGTAAATTCTCCTCAATTTGACGTATTTAAACATTATTATTATACAGGTTCGTTGAATAGTTGAATTTTTGAATGCGCACTTAATTTCTTTAACTAATATATAAACTCTTTATTCAGTAAATATAAAATCAAATATGGCATCAAGAGAGAATAATTCACTTCAAGCTATGGAAGAATTTTGCAAACATATGGACAAATGGATTGAGGGTGAAGGAGATCGTCGTCGTCATGCCTTTAATCTTGGACAATTACTTCTGAAGGCAAATCCAAGTTCTAGAAGCAGAGATGGTTCCACTCGCGGTATATTCATTATCGGCGATCAAAGCTCTGCCAAGTCTACTACTGTTAATAGTATTATAAAACAAGTTACTCTTCAAATGGGTAGTAATACTGTTACTAAAGTCAGAACATGGATTGAGCATCGATATGATCCGAATTTGGAACATGCAGAATATGACTTGTTAATACAAAGAGAAAGAGAAAGAAATAGTGAAGAGATCCTTCTCGGTGGTACTTTGCAGGCGTTGACTGAAAAGTTCGCTCGAATAAATAGTAATAATATGGATGATACGATGGAAGCACGGATTATCATTCGCTCCGACATTCCATCGTTCGCTATAGATTGTTGCGACAATCCAGGGTTGACGCCAGTAAATGAAAGAACGCAAAGGATCACCGATAATATTACACGTCGAACACTGGAGAGAGTTTTGGAACGTCAGAACTCAAGAAATGATAGCATCGTGGTGTTATGTATTTCGGCACTGTTCTTTGAAAATGCGTCTTGGCCACGTCATATGGATCTAATAGAGCAAATTAATGGGGATAATTTGATTGTCCTTGTAACAAGGATGGATCAGCTCAATATTCGCAGCATTGCTCAAGAGATTAAAGATGATGAAGATGAAAGCAATTCTGATGATGGAAATTCGGAGCTTCTTCGCTGCAGTTCTTGGGACATTCTCAAGTGTATTCGCACAAAGATTGAACGTCAAACTGGCTCTCATTCGTTTCCAAACGGTGTACAGTTTCACTATGCAGCTTCTAGCAGCGTCCGTTGGGATGTGTTGACTGGACAAAATGGGTGGAATGCATTTGTAAATTCGGAAGCTGAAAATGACAGAAAGATGCGGGAAGTTCTTGGTATATGCGACGATGAAGCAAGGCTCTTGCATAATGAACAAGAATGGCGCGGTCAAGGAATTGAATTAATTCCAATGGATCCGAGACAGCAATCAGAATTCGATAGGTCTGTCGGGATGTCAAAATTGCAGGAAAGATTACTCCAAAGGTTGCATGTTCATATAATAAAAGCTGCGGAGGAACTTCTTGATTATACGTCTAATTGGAGAAAAGCTGCAAAAATGGAGTTAGATCATGTGTCAAAACGTATGAAACTTCCTGATGATCGTGCTGAATTGATCACTCGGTTTTGCACACAATTTATATTAGTATACCAAACTCTATTTTCTTCACCATTGTATTCTCCGAAGATTAATGCTGACCCCTGGTTTAAAGAGTTTGGGGAAGGAGTTAAAAGAGGGCAAGAAAGTTGTGGAGAATACGGATGGACTTCACAAGATATGTGGGAAATTTTCAAAAATTTAGAAGACAACGATGGATATGCGGAATTTCCACCTCAAGAATTCTGTGATCCAAATTTTGATTCTTACCTGGAGGATATTGAAAAATATGTTAAAACGGCCAAAGAACCTTTATATACAGCACAAATGTTAATACAACGACTAACACAAGAATATACCATGCGATCGACCTTAATTTATCTACGTGACCTTGATGTTAAAAGTTTCGTTGCGCGTCAAGTACAATTAAGAACCTCGACCGCATTGAGTTTCGGTCAGGCTGTTGATCAGAAAATCAGTGAGGATTATAGCCAGATATTCCATAAACATGAAAAGAGAAACTCTGGTGGTCATCATTCACATGAGATACACGGAGGTAATCAATGGGTATCTATACTTGGAGCTCTATGTTTATTGTTGCATGCAGAATATACTATCCGTATTATGCGTGATACAATATTTTCTTCGTTGTTACAAGCGCAAAGTGACGATCCAATGCATGGTATCCTTGTTTCCAGATTTGAACAATATTGGAAAATGAGAAAAGAGAAATCAATAGATCAGAATCATTATCAAGCGCACAGCACAGAGAATCAAATTGCGGAAATTATGAAGAACTCTAGAAGGAAGCCAGGTTCTTCAAAATTTCTTTTATCTAAGAATAAAGTAGCACCCATCGAAGATTTGTCGTGGGCGATCTATGCTATGTTCTTTGAAAGTCCGTATAATCATTTTAAAAAGACATTAGATGAACGTACTGATTTATTGATGATGACACATGCAACATCTCTTGTTCACTTTTACCAATTGAGTGGAATTTGTGTACATCAAGATGAAGAATACCTTATCCAATGGGCAGCAGATAATCCGAGTTCGGCGTACGCGAGAGCCTTTCTGATTCGGGAACCGGATGTCAAGGACCCTATAAAAGCTTTAACCGATACAGTGAATAAAATAAAATCACAGGGATCTGACTTAGATAGAGAAATGTTAGAAAGAGTCCTAAATAAAGAATTAAATATAGAAGATTTAGTTACCAGAGATAAAGAAGCTAAATTTATTTCCCACTTATTGGAAAATCTTAAAAAGTTTCAAAGAGGGAGAATGCCTAATGACAATAATAACGAATCATCGGAATTTGATTCCACAATCTTTTCGGACCTATCGGAAATAATAACTGAGCGAGTAAGAGCCATCGTAATGGGTAAACCACCAAGCTCTGAAGATAAAGTAAAGTTGTTTGTAAACATCGCAGATATGGGCATGAACCCAGATTCGTTCCCAGAGACAGAAAGCAAGACAAAAATTACTAGCAAAGAAACATCCACTGTTAATTACGTATATAGACGTCGTTTGACAATGGGAATTACAAGCAGTGTTATTGACACTACTCAACAACTTGCTAAATCGCAATACGAGTACAGTCATCAGCAAACCGCACCAACATTACAGCGTGAATTACTCGGTCGTGTCGCATCTCTAATACTTGGATATGGTTATCCTTATCATCCCGATGAACGTCCCTCATCAAAATGGTATCTCTCACCGAAAGTGATTGTCCAATTTCTATTAGCCAACGAAGATAATTTTGTAAATGAAGAAAATAAACCAAATAATCTTGAAGAATGGAATTGGAACTCATTGCTTGATCCTCGGATGTTGGAATCACCACTTGTTAAACGTATCCTCTTCTTGTGTAATCCTACAGAAAATGATGATTATGACCCTAAAACAGTGTCACATTATATTAAACAGCTTGAAAAATGTAAATATAACGATATGGATGAATATATTATTGAAATTCTTTCTGATGACCGATTTAATTGGAAACCAGATCAGGAGAATTTGTATGGAAAAGTGGATAGTTTAAAAAATGAAATAATTAAATATAGTAAATGGCATGTTTATATCGAAGCATATAAAAAAGTTGCAGAACCAGTTTTGCTACGTAATGAAGATTTAGAACCCGAGATAAATTTTGAACAGGGGGAAATAATTACTGAGCTTGATGAACTTTATGAAGGAAACGAAACAAATTAAAGTTCTCCTATTCGAGGACTAGGGGTGCTTTTTCACCAAATCTTTATATAATTACACTAATAACCCGAAAATTTAATTTTTCTTTATTTTAGGTTGGCTAGTTTTAATTGTTTCTTCTTTTTATTTTTTTATTTGTAAGAAAAAATTACATGGCTTTAAATAAATAGAAAACTTTATATCAGTTTGAATTCATTTAGTTTATGTCAAATTAGTCTCAAAAATTGAGTGAAACTTGAATTTGAGATAAGTTCAGATTAATTTATCATGTTAAATTACAATCGATACTTAAATTCATAAAGCAAATAAACATCTTCCGAAAGAATGTTATATATATAAATTGATTATGCATTTTTTGGTAGCGCGATAATTATTTGTCTTCAAATAAACTTGAATATTTATCCTGTAGATCGATACTGGTAAATTTGGTATAGGTAACATGAACATTGATCTTAATAGAAAGGTATAACAGTAGCTATTTGACATCATGATTATTTATCGCACTCTATCTTAAATTTATGGCTAAATTTTTCTCCAATCTATACCGAAATGAAGAGTTAAATATAATTTGTTTAAAAAACCAATCATATATATACTTTACTGAAACTTACACAAATAGCGTAATTGTTATCAGTGGCTAAACTTGTGGGAAGTGTATACTGTAATTTTTGATCCTTCAAATTACACGCTTCGGTAATCGTTAGGATTCTTTTAAGATTTTTTTCATCGTCACCTTGATATAGATACATTGGTTGCCTTTCGGGACCTTCTTGACTTGCAATTATCCACTTAATTTCCATAGGCTTTCCGCATTGTACGACATTTTCTTTGAAGAGAGAAGGTTTAAGATATTAGAAACTTTGAGCTTTTTTTTTTTGTTTGTTTGTTTTTATACCTGAAGCTGGCATAGTGATGTAAGGTACAGCGGCAAGTATCGTAGAAACGGCGAAGAAAAAGATAAAAACAGAGATTAAAGTAATGGATTTCATCATAAATCGTAAATGTGTAGAGCTCTTTTTGTGCAAACTTCTTTCTAAAATCTGTCAGGAAAAGAATTACTTCAAGAATTCTAAAAGAATGTTAATTATTTTCTTAACTTACTAGATAATCCGAGGTTTCTTATACCTTTTTTTTAACACTAACTTCAAGATAAATAACGAACTTTATCTTTGATTTAGCCTTAATTTATGATTAATCCATCTATAATACTTTAAATGATATATTATAAACGCACCATCTTTTTGTGATTTTTTCCTCAATAAGGGGCCTCGAATATTTGTATAATAAATGATGTATACTATACATGGTATAAAAAAAAAAAAATAGTAGACGGGCTCTAGTTAGAATTTTGGCAGTTGTTTGTACCATAAAAGTCTTCATTCATAGTAAATGTAGTTTAAGAAAATAATGTTACGACCAGAGCAATAATTAAATACATGGCGAAGGTTAAATGAATTTCTGTATATTAAAACTATACTAAAACCCTCATCTACAAAATTGCGCTTATGTTGTCCCTACTGATCAGCCAGTTTTTGTGGATGTTGATCTACGTATTTCGCGTAAACTCGGAATTGCTGGACCTGAGAGTGGTCAAAGTAACTAATAACGTGATTAGAGAGTAAAATCAATTATATAATTTATGTAATGTAATAAAGAACATAGTCACTTTTCACTCCTTTTAAATAAACTACTAGTAAGATCGATAAAAGCCTTTGTCTTCGTATTGAGACATGGCTCTATCTTTGATTTGCGATATATGTTTTCTTAGTAAACATTAAAAAAGGGAGAAAAAAAGAAGAATTTACTCTTCTCAACCTATCGTACCCTGCTCTTCTCAAGGTAATTCGTTGACATAACATATCATGGTGCAAAAGGCATCAAAAATGACCTTGTATTCCGATGACTGTTTTTGCCAGCATATATTCCGTCATTTCTCAGACGGCAAATGAGGATGTTTGCCTGAGAACCAAAAGAAACATAAACGTTCTTTAATAATGATGCTTCTGAGAATCTTAATAATATAACCAACTAAAAACTAAGGAATACCTGTTAGTTAAAAGGTTCAAAAAATTAAATAATTCATTGAACACCGCACCCATCAATGTTGATTCTTTTGAATCTTCAGATCGCAAGATTTTCAAAATTATACGAAAAATCAGTCAAGCAGAAGTTCGTACTCTCGTATCAAAACAAGAACTTATTTACAGATACTATCAATTTTGGACAGCACTTTCAATCAGATTTAATGAGGCATATAATAATTATACATATAAAAAAAATGAATTAAAAAAATTCTTTTTCAATGAAAGAATCGTGTAGATAGTGTTACAAATAATTATAGTTAGATCTCTCTAAATACAACCACCCTAAATGCGATATCTTTCTAAATGCAATCTTTAACTCTGATCTAGTTTGACAAGTTGTAGAACGATAAGCTTTATTCGAAAGTAGTATCTTTGTCCACTTTTATTTATGAGTGTCGCAAAGAGAAAACCCGCAATTTAAAAATATAATATTATTTTATAAATTGTTAGATACAAAGTCGATTCACATGTTGAAGATGAATACAGTCCGGGAATATACCATAAATGGATAGTGCTGATCGCACCTTTTATGGAAATAGATCATCAATCAACTGATTCTGGAAATTTCTAAAATGATCGTTGATCAGTTAAGA